GTGGAATAGTGCCCCATCGCTGGTGTCAGTGGGGGGGAGGAATAGTGCCCCATCGTTGGTGTCAGTGGGGAGGAGGAAAAGTGCCCTATCGTTGGTGTCAGTGGGAGGAATAATGCCCCATCATTGGTATCAGTGACACCAATTATGGGGCACTATGGGGCCTATTCCTCCCACTGACACCAATGACACTTGCTGACCCCTGTTCCAGTATGGTGCTGCTGCAGCCAGCATATGTGGTTGCAACAGCACCTCTGCACGGCACACTTACCGGCCGCTCCTTCACTCTATTTTCGCGGGGCTGCTCGGCTCCGCCTCCTTGCCGGTGATTGGCCGCCTGTGTGCCTTTCCTGAGCTACAGTTCTGGCGGCCAATCACCGGTGAGGAGGCGGAGCCGAGCAGCCGCGCGAACATCCAGTGGCCGAACTGAATGAAGGAGCAGTCGCGCTTCCTGGACTGGATCGTTGTGAGACCGGAGCCAGGTAAGAAACAGCAGCCCCTGCCCACCCCTGTACTTAGTGTCCCTTCCGTTGGAAGGGGGGGGCGGCGGCGGTACCGTGCCGCCCCCCTAAAAAGTGTCAGCATGCCGTATACCGGCGTATAAGACGACCCCCGACTTTTGAGAAAATTTTAAAGGGGTAAAGAGTCGTCTTATACCCCAGAAAATACAGTATATTGACCTTAAGTGAAAGAACTACAGGAATTTTAGGATACAAGCCACCACAAATTCATAGATAAAACCATAGATATTCTTTTCATAATGTTAAAAAAATCCATAAAATGTATACATTGTGCTGCTCATCACATACAGTACAAGTACAAACTATACAATGTTTCTTCCAGCTCCCCAATAACTAATACATCGTAGCTTACTGTAAATATTTGGATACAATCTGCATTACCACTTGTTTAAATTGGGATATGAATTCAAAGCTTTTCTCGGGTCAAAGACAGCTTCTTCGGGACGAGATGGAGAAAGGAATGTTGGTAATACAGATCATACCATATTCATATCAGACAGAAACAATGTTTAATGACACCAATTAACAATTAGGGTTCATTATACTTACCTCATGAACAGCAACCATTACACAAACACATTTATGTTAAAGTTAAAACCAAGATGAAGTTGCTGGAGGCACACATGGCTATCCAAACTTAACTACAGAGGAGAGGCCTGCTGGGGAGGGATAAGCAGCCCTGGGTAACCATATGGCATACAAAATCTAAAAAGCATATTTCCATAAGGATATGTGGTTACAGTCTGATCAGAATCTCTATTGTGAAAATATGCATTTAGTTAATTAAGATAATAAAGATTAATCTCTTATATAATGTCCTAAAAATAGTTATATACTCAGCTATACTCAATTATATTAAATTTCTTTTTTTCCCAGAAGGTAAAAGTTTATTAAACTTTCAGACATACAATACTTGAAAGAAAACAAAACAGAGCATTTACAGAGTATACAGCAATTATCCATAAGAAAGCATCATACAGTAAGGCAAAGTGGTGTACATACATTAGATCAGCTGACCTGAAACAAATATCCAAAGGGGTAAAAAAAACAATAATTTCCAATAATGGAAGGTTTCAAACCCGACATATGGGGGAGTATGTACTACACCCGAACAATCTATAGAATTACAATAATCTGTGTAACACCAAATCCAATGGAGCGAGACCTGGGGAAGCCAACCAAGGTCCGATGATTTTTCAAACTTTGCTGGGAATCTACAATGGAGGTATATTTGCTTAACACAGCGTAAAATGTTCTCTACAGCACGTATACACTCCTCTTTAGTTGGGGAAATCTCAATCTTCCAGTGCTTACAAGCCTGAGATAGCGTTTTGGATAACACCTCAATCTGAAATGAAGACAAGCTATAGATTGCTTGGGTGTGGTGCTGTGTATGTGTATGGGTGGTGAAGCCTGGTAGAGTATCCAAGATGTCTGAGTTCGGCGTCATCAATGTGTGATGCAGTTCTGAACAAGCACAGGGGAGCGTCGCCTGGTTCGCTCTTTCATCAGGCAGGGAGGAGCTGCAAGTGGGAGAGCCTTTTGTAGATAGCCAGCTTGATGATGTCAGATGCTGAACGTGACTGACCTCGGACATCTTGGAGACTCTGCCAGGCTTCCCCACCCATGCTACATATACACAGCACCATCTGCTGGCGGACCTAGGCTATCTCCTTCTGGTACAGTCACCCAAAAACATCTGGCATAAGACGTTTTACCTCTTCACCACATGCGCCTGTTTTTAATTTCTAAGATGTGAGTTACTACTTATCTTTTTATTAAATACTACTACTGTACACACTTAGAGGCTCTGTGTTCCATCACAGAGTAGCTTCGCTCCATCCACAATGCCTACTGGACTATCCCTGCCCATTGGAACTTCATACCACTTGATTGGATTACCGCACCTTGCACCTTTTACAATATAATCTTAGCAGTTAGAGACAACTTATTCACCATCATCTTTACTATACTTTAGCAAACCAATTTTCATAAATTAACTTTACTTTAAAGTGGTTGTAGACCTCAGACATGAAATATGAGCAAAGCATATCCCTCTATAGTGTGTACTTGTCTCAATCCAGAGCACAAAGTTTCATTTCTGTCTGCTGCCTTGTTCCTCTGCTATAAGCATGAATCACTTCTGACAAGTTTTCCTGACACCATGAGAAAAATGGTGACGGGGAGGGAGCAACAACTAATTGACGACCTCAGCTCTGTTCCTGTGTGCTGTGTGAAGGGGAGGTCTGTCCCTTCCCTTCAATCAGCTCTAAGAGCTCTCCTCACTGACGTAACTTCAGCCTCCCGCCCCCTGCTTTTTAGAGCTTTGAGATTCTGTACTTTGAATGGGTGTAGGGTAGAGATAGATATAGACAGGTTCAACTTATGTAGGACGATTTATTTAATCTCTGTGTATCACCTGAGGCCAGTCACTTAAGCTGGCTATATGTGAGAGTTTGCAACCATTTTAAATACAAGTGAAAAAAATAATTATAATGAAGTCATCATTACATCTATTATTTACTTACAGTTAGTAGAATTTAACATATTCAGCAATACTTGAAGTGTTACTAAATCTACAACAGTAAAATCAGTCTGTATATGCAGTAACTAAAGGGTTAATCCTCTGCATTGTGTAAAAAGGCTGTTTGACCCTTTCTTCTCTGCCCCGCCTCTTGTTGAAATGACCACTGATACGGACTGAATCCGTAGTCACATGCACATGCTCAGTTTGGTGTGTATTGCTAGAGAGGTCCAGACAGAGGGTCAGGGGTTTCAAATCCTCCTAAAGCAGAAAGAAAACTTCTCCTACAAGCTTCAACCACTGCTATGCTGAAGTCACAAGACTGCTCTAACTGCTGATGAAAAAGATATTTAGAAGTTTATATTTACTAAAATAATTGCCTTTCTATGTTCTGTGTACTATGGGAGACCATATATAATGAATGCAGGGTCCTGGGTTTAGTATCACTTTAACCACTTGCCCTCCTCAGGATTTACCCCCCTTCGTGGACATTTTTTGCATTACGGCTCTGCGTTATGTTTACTGACAATTGTGTGGTCATGCAACACTGCACCCAAATGAAATGTATGTCCTTTTATCCCATGAATTGAGCTTTCTTTCGGTGGTATTTGATCGCCTTTGTGTTTTTTATTTTTGTGCTATAAACAAAAAAAGACTGACAATTTTGAGAAAAAAACATTATTTTGGACAATTTGCTATTAAACATGTCCAGTAAAAAAAATGAAAAAATCTAATTTTATCGTATATTTAGGCCAAAATGTATTCTGCTACATATCTTTGCTAAAAAAAAATCCCAATACGTGTAAATTAATTGGTTTACGTGAATGTTATAGCATTTACAAATGGCGGTATAGATACTGGGATTTTTTTTTCCTACTAGTAATGGCGGCGATCAGAAACATTTAGCAGGACTGCAGGACTTCGGTGGACATTCTGATACTGGGGGGGAACTAACTTGGTGTCACTGTGACACCAATACAGTGATCAGTGCTAAAAAAAGCACTGACACTGTACTAATGGCACTGGGCAGGAAGGGGTTAATGTGATTGGTGATCAACGGGTTAACTGAGTGTAGGGAGTGTTTTACTAGGGGGCGGGGATGTGCTCAACTGTAATAACACTGCTCTGGTTGGCTGTACTGTGCACAGCCATCCCGAGCAGTGTGCTCAAGCTAACAAGGAGGAAGAATGTTTTTAAACAAAACAATCTTCCACCCCCGTCAGAGATGCTTGGTAATCACCAGGTGCTGGTGGGTAATTGCCGATCGGAACTCAGTGATTGACATCCGAATGGGGGATAGTTTTTTAAAATTACACAAATATTAATTTACCTGCAAGGAAATACCTGCAGTCATAACTGTTATGCATAAAAAGGGATTCACAGGCAAGGATACTGCTGCTACTAAGATTGCACCTAAATCAACCATTTATTGGATCATCAAGAACTTCAAGGAGAGAGGTTCAATTGTTGTGAAGAAGGCTTCAAGGTGCCCAAGCAAGCCAGTGAGCACCAGGACCATCTCCTAAAGTTGATTCAGCTGCGGGATCTGGGAACCACCAGTGTAGAGCTTGCTCAGGAATGGCAGCAGGCAGGTGTGAGTGAATCTGAATGCACAGTGAGGCAAAGACTTTCGAAGGATGGCCTGGTGTCAAAAAGGGAAGCAAAGAAGCCACTTCTCTTCAGAAAAAACATTAGGAACAGACTGCGAGCCCCCTAACCGGAAATGCAAAATCATGTGTATATATATATATATATATATATATATATATATATATATATATATATACATACACACATACGTGATTCTGCACACAGGTGCGCCCTGTAGCAGTATATCTGCTATAGGGTGGTCCTTAACCACTTCCCGTCCTGCCCATGTATATAAACGGCCGGATGGGAGCAGTGCAGGGTCGGGTGGCTGTTTATAAATGTCCTCCCCACTCCCTGCTTGTGCGCACTTTCTGAGAGCGCACAGCACAGCGATCTGGTGCCCGCTGTGTCCGGAGGGAAGACACAGAGGAACACCTCTGTGTGAGGTCCCGATCATGTGATCACTGATTGGCCAATCAGTGATCACATGAAGAGTAGTAAGCAAGATGTCACTTCTGCCATCATTGCTTACTACGTGTGAAATCTGTGAATGATCAACGAGATCACATGGTACAAGGCTATTCACAACAGCCTTGTACCATGTGACAAGCTGTGACCAATCACAGCTCACACAGTATTTCTCAATGGCTGCAAGAATGCAGCCAGAGAGAAGAAGAAATTATTGCTTTTACAGCCTTTATGGGTGTAAAAGCAATCAGTGTAAAAAAAAAAAAAAATCTTCATCAACCCCCCACAAGTAGTACAGTGTCACTATGGTGACACTGTATTTATAGGGTGACAGTATGTAAAAAAAAACATAAATAATAATAATATATAAAAAAATTACATAAAAATGTAAAACAAAATTTAGGAAAATTATAATTTTTGGTTATAAACTAATTTAGGTTATTTTTTTTTTTTTTACTAAAAAGATAACTGAATGCATTTTGGCCAAGATTTATGAAGAAAGATTATTTATTTGCAAAATTTTATAAGAAAAACACTTTTGTTTCACAATTTGTGGACTTTTTCATTTATATAGCAAAACAAAAATAAAAATCCCAGTGGTGAATAAATACAACCAAAATAAAGTTTTATCTGTCTCAAAACAATGTTAAAAAAATTCATATGGGCACAGTGTTGCATGACCAAACAATTGTCATTCAAAGTGTGATAGCGCTGAAAGCTGAAAATTGGCCTGGTCAGGAATGGGGTAAAAGTGTCTGGACTTGAAGTGGTTAAGCGGTTAATGGAGAAAGATCATGGTTTACATCAACACATTAGAATCTCAGCCATCAGTCAATGTTCCAGCACAATTTAGCCTAGAAAAGCTGAGATTTGATTTATGTAATGTACAGAACATTTGGCGTCTGCTTTAGGCCTATAGAGGTTGTGCCCCTCAGCAAGCCTTTAGGATATGAATGTTGTAAAGCATGCATTGCAAAGTGATCTCTGAAACCCGATTTAATATCGTCTCTTTGTCTACACATTAAAGTCACATTAGGGATTGTTTGGCTATTAAAGTGCGACCAATTTCCTGCCAGAGAGTCTTGCTGTCATCCTTTTTAGCGGTACTTTCAACCCATTAAAAGGTGTATAATTGATTCATTTGCTTAGCCCAGATACATTTTCAATTAATGCATACACTGACCTCTGTATACTAAATATTTGGCTTGGCTAATTCTAGCGTCATTAGCGTAGGGTACATTTAAATCCTTCCTATGCAAGCCTTCAGCATTGTCTATGTTTTAGACCTGTTTAATGAGCTGTAAAATGAAATGAAGATGACTTGTTTCTCAAACAATCAACCACACTGTTAAGTAATGTTGAGCACAGCTAGGAAGGACAATAAATTCTGTCACCTTGACAACAGTTCTAGGTATTGACTTTTCTAATCACGATCGATTACCAGGAGAAAATAAAACGACCCCTTCATTTTTCTGCTTTAATGTTTTTTTTTTTTTCATGTATTGCTTTCCATAGCTCATCAACAAGAATAGAAACTCTGATAAAATTTTGCAACCTGTTAGGTCTCTTGCAATGTTGACATTGGTTTTCTGATTAGCCTGTAGCTTTCTATACATGAATTTAAAAGATAACTAAACCCAAGCACTAAAATGTAATATTTTGCAGCTTACAATAGTGGTGGCTGCATTCACTTTCTCATTTTTTCAGCTATGAACATTTTTTAGCAAGCATAGAAAATATCTGTTGATCTTGTCATGACCAGGGGACTAAAGATGGGAATAAACATGGCTTGTAAGTCCCACTCAAACAATACCTACCCCCCATCCTTAACCTAAGAAACCACACTGACAACAAATGGAGTTAATGGCCTTCAAAACCGGCCATTTATTATAACCATCAATAAATAACATTTTAAATAACAGAAACACACAGTATAAGCATATGTTCCTGCAAGGTCCCAATAGGCATCAAGAAAAACGAATACCTGCGTCCTTCTTAACTAAGCCTCCAGACGCAACATCACCGACTCGGAGACACCACCGCAGAACCCCCCCCACCAGCACAACTGGAAGCCATACCTCAGACGGGTTCCTACAAAGTGCCTTTTCTTGTGCCCACCTTAACCAACGAGGACCTTGCACTCCGCCAAACATCCCCCAGCACTAATATGGCACAACCACCACCCAGACAGACCTTAAAACAACAGGCGGCGGGAGGGAGGGAAGTTTGCCCTGTGAAAACTCTCTCCAGACTGAAAACCCCCCTGCCACACCCTGTAAGACCACCCCACTTAGCTCCCCCCACTCCTTCGTTAACTAACTTGCCTCCCTCTTATGCTAATAGGATTCTCCCTCTCCCAACCCCCTTTAACCCCTGTCATGCCGGCCCTTCATTCAGGTCTTCTTTTTTCTTAATCCGGGCCTTCCTGAAATGCAGTACCCTTGTTACTTTCTGGCAGCTGCACCAAAGGTTACCCTCCTTCCTCGCTATCTTTGTAAACTACTGCCCTGCCCCCCATGTAATGGAGATGAAGAAAAAAGGACGTTTGTAGTTGATATCAAGAGAGCAGGGTTGGGTGACACCCATGGCTCCCTCCATCGATACAGTAGAGGGGTGATGTAGCCACCCAGGAATATTAAGTGTGTTTTTTTGCAGAATGCCAAATAAAATAAAGCAAAAAAGCTTGAAAAATGAAAATTAATGCAGCCACCACTGCAAAGACTAGTAAACTGCAATATATAACATTTTTGGTTTGGGGTTTAGATATGATTTAACCACTTGCCGCCAGGACTATGGTCAAATGGCGGCCAGGCGAACACTTCGTCCTTCCAGGAGGGCGCCATAGGGCGTCCTTCCCGGACCACACTTTGCGCATGCCCGCAGGGCCATGCTGTGGCAAGATTTGTCACCGGCCATGTACCTTAGACACGGCCGGTGACATATCTGTGTATCGGCCCCGTTACCAGTACCATGTGACCTGCTGTGACCAATCACAGCAGGTCACATGACAGTTGTATACAATGGATGGCTTCCTTTCATGCCATCCATTGTATACAAGTGTGTCTAGCTGTGAATGGTCACAGCCAATCACAGCCCATCTGTGTCATGTGATTAGCCGTGGCCAATCACAGCTAATCACAAGAAAAAAAACCTGAATGAATCGATTTCATTCAGTTAAATGTTTGCTTATAGGAAAGAAATTCTTTGCTATAATCAATCAAATTGTGTAACAAAAAAAATACTGATCACTTCCCCAAAGTAGTACAATGTAATGGTCATAGTGCAATATGAAAAAAATCTTTAAAAAAAGAGAAATTTTAATTAATTAAATAAATAAATAAAAATAAAATTGAAAAAAAATATCATTATCACCAGTCAGTGTCCCTGATCACCGCCACACCAGTTATATGCTGATACTGGTGACAGTATGTAAAACAAAAATTGTGAAAATAATTTTGTTAATTTCTTCATTTTCTGAAAAAGTATGACAAAAAAATTGAAAACGTTAAAAAACTCGCCATGCCTCTTATGAAATACATCGGACTGTCTATTTTGCAAAAAGGGGTCATTTGGGGGATATGTGTACTGGTCTGACATTTTTGGGCCTCAAGAAATTAGATTGGCTGTCAGTAATTCAGGATTGATCAATTTTCAGATATATCTTATAGTTTGTGAACTCTATAACTTCCTACAGACTAAATAATAAACACTGATTTGGGTTATTTTCACCAAAGAAATGTAGTAGAATACATCTTGGCCTAAATTTATGAAGAACAATTATTTATTTGCAAACAAAGAAAAACGTATTTTTTTCAAAATGTTGGGCCTTTTTTTGTTATTTTAGCAAAAAATAAAAACCCCAGTGGTGATCAAATATCACCAAAAGAAAGCTCTAGTTGTGTAAACAGAACGATAAAATTTTAGTTTGGGTACAGAGTTGCATGACCGCGCAATTGTCATTCAAAGTGTGAGAGATCTGAAACCTGAAAATTGGCCTGGGCAGGAAGGGGGTAAAAGTGCCCGGTATTGAAGTGGTTAAGGTATGTTCCAGTTAACATGCATACATTTAAATACACACATACTTCACCTTTAGCTGGCAAACTAAATGAAAGTAGCAGTTTGCATTGTCAGATTAACCCCTTGATGCTGACATCACACAAATATGCAGCCTCACAGAGCTGGGCTTTTTTTCGTGTGGCTGCATATTTGTGTACCTGCCTTTGTGCTTGGAGCGTGCCTCCTAGTACAAAGACTGAGATATCACTGAGAGCCCCAGGTCCCATTCTAACGATCAGGACACCCGATTCCAGGTCACATGATCGCTGTGATAGCCTCTGATTGGCTGATCACAGTGATCAGTCATTGTGAAGCCCGGCCCCCTTGTTTTTTTTTTATCTCTGAATGGAGGAAATAGATACATTGTATCTCTCTCTCTCCTTGCATAGAGGGAAAAAAAGAACTGTTTGTAAAAAAAAAAAAAAAAAGATAAATGAGTAAACAAATATTGAAAACTAAAATAGAAAAGAAAGAAAAAATACCTACATCAAGGTTTGATCTAGTTCAGTGCCAGGGTTAGTGTTTGGATAAAGGTCAGGGTCAAAGGTCATTTTTTTTTTTAAATTGATATCAGTGTCAGTTAGTGTCAGTGTCAGTGTGCTTTTAGGTATAGAAACAAAAACAAAATGTGCACTATTGTTTATGGGCTGTAGTATAGGTACAAAAAACAAATAACATACACATATATAGTATCACTGTGATCATCAAGAGCTGGAAAAATTATTTTGGGTTGTTCTTTGGTAGTAGGTTATGGTAGTAACAAGAAACACACAGCTAAATTAAGAAAAAAAATATTTTTTTTTTACTATTATGGGCCAGTTTTCCTCTGATAATAAAATAAAAATCAGGAGATATCCATTACCATTTACCAACAAATGAAAGCCCAATTTTTCCTGAAAAAAACAAGGTATAATTCACCTGGATGCACAAAGTAGTTGTGATTATATGTATGGTTTTACTAACACATGTCAACATTGTAAAATTGTACTTCAATATTTTGCAGCACTTTTGTGTTGAACTTATCACTTATGTGCACAGGAACAGATGTGTCCTCAACCACATATAGATTACAGACTAACCAAATGGACAGTTCTCAAAATGCATTTA